GCAGATTTAGCTCTTGCATAATGTATGTTTAAATATGACCTATTGCATCATACCGATATATTCATATCTCCGCTATTTACTGTAGCTTTGGTTCTTGTTGTAAATTACGAATTAAAGAACACTAAACCAGATACCTACCTACTTTGTCTCAGGAATATGTTGGACTATCTACAACCGCGGATCGGATATTAAAACATTACAGTGCAATTATTTAAAAATATATACACTGTAATGTTCTAATAAAATACTTCCATGTTGTCGTCACAATCGATAAATAGTAGGCGGGTTGGATCCAACTGGGGGTGTCTCTATTTATCAGTCATAAGGAAAGAATTTGTAATGAACAAAGAAAAACACATCATACAAGGCAATGAGGAAGTAATAAGTAATGGCTAAAAATAAGAATTTCAAAACAACGCAGAGTGATCAAAACAACGTAGAGTGATCTAGGAAGTCGTAAACGACTGCCTTTCAATTTGACTGTTCGCGTATTTCATTAAACATATTTGATTAGACTTTACAATTATTTATTTAATTTTTTAAAGTTTATATACATTCATATTACATTTATCTGTGCTTTTAGACCTATTTTATGGTTGTAAAGAATAGGGTCATACGCCCTTTAATATATAGGAAGACCAACCTCTGCTATATGTATGTACACATATTCATATAATATTAGGGAAGTTAAGTCCTTAGCATGCGCGCGCTGTATCATACAGTTTGTCATTGAGTCGACTGGCGTGGTTTCGAATCCCCGGTTGTACATGACAAGGAGTAGGGTCGCCTGTCCAACCTCGTGGGTTTTCTCCGGGTTGTCCGGTTTCCTCCCACTGCTAAAAGACCCCTACGCGCAAGCGAATTATTGTAATAAAATTAAACCATATGTTAGTCCCGAAATGACCTAGTTTGTGTCGAGTGGACGTTAAACCCCATTTCTCTCTCTCTCCCTTACAAGGGTTATCGAGTGATTGACTAGATATATACGCTACATTACGGTATAGCATTATAACAGTACCAGTGGGGAAGATGTTAACGTAAAAGAACCCTTTACAGTTGCAATTCGAAATAAGAGTAGGCCATACCGACGCCTGTCTTCTTTATCCCAGGCGATGCATATCAATAGAACGTTAACCCCCATTTCATATCACCATGACCCTATCTATATTACTGCACGCCTTAATGTAATGTATTTATGGTTGCATTGCAGAGATTGATAAATGCCGTGTAATCAGAAGATGGAACCGATCGCAGATTAATCACGAATAACAGGTCTACTAATCACATGACCAGGAATACTATAATCAGCCTACTAATCACATGACCACTAGGTCTACTAATCACATGACCACTAGGTCTACTAATTACATGACCACGAATACTATAATCAGCCTACTAATCACATGCCCACTACACATCGGGGGCTTTTAAATAAAGTATTGTAAAGTTATATATACACACGGGGACGGACATTTTTAGCAAAAATGACAACATAATTTTCTCCCTATTCCTTATATAAAATATTGTAAATAATATACCGACTAGTCAAATAATTCTACTGAAAAAAAAACCTGGACGTAATTGTATAGGTATTTAAAATAACAAGAGTGTTTCTTTTTCTTGTTCGTGTTCAAATATGTCAATATGTATGAATAAGAGGGAAGTATGTACATCACATGACGTTTAATTAAAGCCGTACAATACATTATGGTACATCACTGTACTAAAACCAACCATGCGTGCAGGTAGCTCGACACGCTGTGGCAAGAGGTCGCGTGTTCGATCCCTGCATTGACCGAGAAAGTTCATCGGAATTTTCCGGCGTGGTTTCCTCTTGTCACTGGTGCAGGACGGATGGTACGATAAACCGAAGTCCCGTGTATACAAAGGCGTGCACATTGTATACATTGGCAGTTGAAGTCGATATAAGAGTAGGTCATAGTGCGGCTCCCCGGGCAAAATGTCCCTCGTAGTACACTGTATGGTGTATGCCCGTCTTCATTAGCCCAGTCGGAGCTGAACAGTAGGACGTTTAACCCCATTTCATTTCATTGCAGGTAGAAATAAAATCTTCATATAATATTATGGAAGGTATTTCCACCAAATAACCTGTGATGCAATAGATAGATATACGCTGTATTACGGTATATCAATGGGCCCTATATCAGAATCAGCTCAGTTTGCAAGTCGACTACAAGCAGGCAATGATCTTCAATAGAAGGATTGACCTTCACGTAATAACCTGCATATTTCGGCACTCGAGCTTTCCAACTAAAATGTCTTCCTGTGATAATCGAGTTGTATAGTTTAAGGTTCGTTCAATGTCAAGGTTTCCGTGGAGGTCGTCATTTATGATTTGCGTGTGTTCGTGTCACAACCTCTGAGTGAACGCTAACGTAGCTATAAGTCCATCCTCGGTATCCCCAGTGGTCCCATTCCGTTCTACTCCACTAACCCCCGGAGGCAGACCACCATTAAATTTCATCATCTCGGTACCCAATTCTCTCTCTCTCTCGCTCTTTTCTCCCCTTTTGCATGCCCATTTTTGTTGATTTTTTGGTCTCGAATGGACGAAGAGGGTTTGAATTAACATTTTCTGCCAGGTTTTGGTAAATATTCATGATTTTGAGGCGGAAGGATCAGAGGGTTATCAGGTTAGCTACGGCGATATGTACGGCAACTAGTTACATGTTTTTAGTATGCTTCTTCAAGTTTGTGTATCTGAAAATTTTGGTGGTCAACCTCATACAAATTTTAGTGCAAAGACATGACCATTTGTTCCTCTGTCTGTAGTGAAAAGCATTCAGCCCAACGAAAATTTGGGGAAAAGTTGGAGGTGGGCAAAGAGGCCAGAATTAACATTGAAGTCAATGGGGAAATTAATGGTGGTCTGCCTCCATCTATGGGGGAAGACACGTTTCCAAGTTATCCGCCCTTGGTGATTGTGCTATTTTTATCGACCAATCCCATAAATCGTTACTTATAATGGAAGTTGGCAAAGGGAAGTAACTATAACATCGGGTAAAGTAAGCTAGAGACAAGATTAGGAATTAGCCAGAAGGTAGCCTAAATTACGGAAGACCATCACTAATCTACAAAATGTGTAAGGATAATAGGATTTAATGGAAATTATTAAATTTCGATAAGTTTCTTCGGTCCAAAAATCTGGACAGTGCATAACAAATTTAACAGAAATTAAATGTCCGAAAAATAAAATGCCATTTGAATATGCGAAGCGCAGCGGCGGGGGCAATGGTGGAAGTGTGTGTGTGTGTGGGGGGGGGGGGGTCCAGCATAAAATTTTGAAATTCAGACGATGGTAATATAGCCTTATTTTATGTGACTTTGCAACCAAAATTCCTGATTGTGTTTGGGGAGAGAGAGGAGGGGAGGGGGTGATATGACCGATCACCAGCGCGGTTTTCCTGCCACTCTGGTACGTGAGTTCAGCAACTGGAAAGGTTTTTCTTTCGAGGTTTTTTTTCTGAAGTCTTTCTTCCCAAGCATAACCGAAATCTAGGACTTTATCTTGCTTATAAACTATTTATGTTTGCAGGTACGTAAAATGAGAATATCCCAGAATTCCAGTAAGAAAAAACTTTTCTTATAGAAAAAAAAACCTACCTGAAAGAATAATCCGTAACATGGTTAAAGAAAAGCTTTCAGAAGAATAACCCTAAATTCCCCTGTTATTCTGGGCATAGAATATATCCCAAAGATCAAAGAGATTTACCGTTATAAGTTTATAAGTTGTAATAAAGATTGAAATTTGATCCATTGTGTATTACCTGAACTTATATATAACTACACACAGTGAACATTGATACCTTTAGTTAATTAATCAAACCCTAATATAATATCCTACACGTATACACCTACAGTGTAGAAATACTTTCTTACTTTTTTGATGTACAGCTTAAACATACATTATGCAAGAGCTAAATCTGTCTATTGCATGCCTTTCTTTACGCCTGAAATGTTATCTAAATTATTAATTAGACATTAGTTAACCTATCCAGACCATAATCAACTCAAGATGGCATCGCTAGCCTGAGATCTTTAGTGGATTATGAGCCGATTTACTGCACAACTTTCCTTCACGATTTAACGATTAAATGGATAATCGAGACTATGCTGTTTATCGTACTGACTTTAGTAATGATGATCAAGACTAGGCGGAAATTTCAATCGCTGAGTTCTCGGTTCATAGTGGATCAATTTGAATGAAATTTTCAGCGAATTTCCTTTACATTATTTCGTTTTTAACTATTATAGTGAGAAGTGCCAACTCGTTATCGAATCTCCCATAATGTATCTTTAATTCAGAATGAGGGGCGGAATTAAACCATGAACTAGACATATTGTATCTTTACGAAGACTACGGTGTACCTGGAATAGTTTGGAATAGTTGCATAGTTACCTGTGTCTAACATGTAGGCGTAGCTGATATTGTCATTTATATTTAAATATTTCCATGTATTTCGTCATGGTAGTCTATCTATTAATAGTCAATATCAATATCCGGTTTCATATTATTGAGAAACTGCAAGTAGCCCTACTTTCATTTTAACTATAAAACATTTTAGAAATGAACTGTATAATATTTTGAATTACATCCCCCTCACCAATTCTTCATACCACCACACAGCAACACATAACTAAATACAAATTATTTTTAACAGAAACATATTGTTCCAAAACTAGATGATTAATCGTTGTTGATATTGTCGTTTCTATTTAAAGACTTCCTTGCATTCGTCATAATAAAATATCTATTAATAGTCAATATCAATATATTCCTTTTCATATTATTAAGAAAATGTGAGTAGCTCTACTTTCACTTCATTATAAAAACATTTTAGAAATGAACGTTGTAAAACTTGGACTATACTGAGCGCCATGGAAAACGCATCACTTTTTTTCCCAAATATTTTATTACTAGGTGGTTTTGTATGTATAATATTATGCAATTATTGCAATTTCTCAATAATATGAAACTGGGTATGGATATTAACTATTAATAGATATTATATTATGACGACATACAGGGAAGTTTTTAAATAGAAACGCCAAGTACACACAAACCTTCTAATATCAGCTACACGGTTAGACATAGTCCAGCATCATACCTGAGATACAGGTAAGTGACTAACTGCTCAATTGTTTTTAGTTCGTGGAGTTAAACGTTCAGGTACACCACGGTCTTCTTAAAGATAAAATATGTCTAGTCCATGTTTTTATTCCCTGCTCAAGTCTCAACTAGAATGAGCTGTACATCAGGTAAGGAAGTATTTCTACACTGCAGGTATTTACGTGTAGGATATTATATTAGGGTTTGATTAATTAACCAAAAGTATGGATGTACACTCATATTCCCACACGGCAATAAAACTGTATCATATGTTAGTCCCGGAATGCCATGATATTAAATTTTTATAGTTCAACCAGTATAATTTTCCACAATAAGTGACTACGCCGAACAGATCACTCCATTTGTGAAAAAAAGGGACCAACCCCCAAAACACTGAAATGAAAAGGTTTTTTTTGGCAGGTTATTCTAGTGTTAGATATATTGAATGAAGAAAATCCACGAATAATTTAGTTTAGTAGAAAAAGTTGATATCCAGTTTGTTGAGATTCAATACGTAACATGACAGTCGGTCGCTTTGATTGGTGTCTTCCCCTAAACTTCGGAGATTTGATTAAATGTATTAAAAGATGGTGAAAATAGTGTTCGTTTGCTATGTGGTCCAATCTGATTAAAACACAGATCCTATTTCGTTTCGTTTTTATAGTTCAAAATTTCGATTTTACTTGTCTTTACTACACTTGGATCTGGAAACGTTGTTATTTAACTCGTGTTCTGCTTGAAATGAGGGGTCAGCCAATCAAATGGTCTGTCGAATCGAGCGTTTGACCTTTTTGGCGCGGAACTGTCAGTAGACATTATCGGCAATAGAAATCAAAACAAAGCAAAAGTAGATAAAAAAAAATACATGGCGGTCGCTAATTGGTTAATCGAATGACTGACGTAATCGGGTCAAATGTCGCTTGCTTGGTACCTGACGTCATAGAACGTGAACTCCCACTATAACTTGTTAGATCTACATGTAGTGTAGGCCATCGAAAGTATAAAAAAACGAAACGAAATATAGATCTATATTTTAATTAGATTGTATGTGGTCCAACAGATGACAACAAGATTTCACATTGGCGTTGTAGCTATTTTGGATAGCCCCGTTTGTCACACAATTCATTTTTCTGCATTGCACTGGTTAATTGAGCATAATGCATTACGCGCATTATGACGTAAAGCAGTCTCAATTGACATTATATACTTTTTTGTTAACATATTTAGAGCTCTGGTTAATCCTGATTGATTTTGGTACGCTGTAATGTATTAGTGGTTGACCCGACTGTTGACCAGTCATAATTTAGGACAGACATTTGCAGTGATTCTGGCAGTGTTTTCGTACCTATTCGACTTATAAAATCCACGTTTGTGGACAGTTTTCTAACTTCTCGACATACTGAGAATATATATCGCAAATGCTTTTCCGCTATTAAACCATCGATATAATCAGTAAATTCCCATGTTGGGAAATTCTAATTGTAAATACATCCATAACCGCCCCCACCCCACCCCCAAAAGCTAAGCTAGATCAGCGCATTTACTAACTGCATGAAATCTGTTGTATAATGTTCATGTCATGAAGTACTCTTTAGATAAAGTGTCTTCTATAATACTTTACTTGTTTCTATTGAGTTGTTTAGCAGAACAGTAGGACGCTATGCCTCATTTCATTTCATTTCATTTGTTTAGAAGAAGTAACCATTGAACAACATGTTGAGACGACTACATAGCAGTATAGGACGATTCAATGTTTAATATCATAATGACAATTTCCATTTTAATGCTGACCCTTTCACAATATTTGAATGAAATATCCTGCAGGGGGTGTTAATCTGTTTTCAGTTTCTATTCCAATTCAATAAAACATACATGTCTTGGCTTTATTCATTAGTTACAATATATTATGTTATTCGTGTATATTAAATAATACAATTCAAGAGATCAAAACATTTCGATTTTATACATCCAACAATACACATAGACCTAAATGTATTTCCCCACAAACGTGTATAAGCATATGTAACACTACCCTGGTCACGGATGATCAAATCCAATATGTAACACTATGCCTTATATTGCTGCGCTATGCGTCGCTAGTTTTTTAGATGTGAAAAGACACGCTAACAAAAACTCTCCACACCCAACACAATATCCATAATATAAAGGTTATATACAGGAAAGTACACACACAGGTATGAGATTAAATATAAGCTAAATATAAGTTTTCTATCCCCTAGGTTGTGTTTTGTGGCGGAGTTTCCTAGCCTCTCAGTCGAGGAGGATGTGGGAACGTCCTTCTGAGAATACGAGATGATGTCCTTACCCTAGCCTCTTAGCCGAGGAGGCTCTGGGTATGATGTTCCCCTGGGAACTCCGAATGATGTCGAAAGAAACCTAAACCCCGCACGTTCTTTATAAAGCGTTTCGTGCATGAGTCATGTATTGAGCTACCGGGAAAGTGGGCCAGGTACTCATTTATCTGGCTGGTCAGCTGCTCAGAGGCTACCCTGGATTTCAACACAGTGTACTTATATGGGCACCAAGGAGGGTGGCTGTCCACGTTCTAACGCGTGGGTGTTGTCATATTTGGAGTATCAGACTATGGCGTCATTGCCCGATTTTTATCTACCGGGCATATCCTTGTTAGCCTAGTTCTTTTTGTCACTGGTACTAGCTAACGACTTCAATACATTAACAAGAGCACCTTTTACAGAACTCAGATAACCTCTACAGTATATAGGTCTTATAGTATTATGCATATAGGCGTTTTGGTTTTCGTACCCGTTCGACTTATGAAATCCACCTTTGCGGAAATTTTTCAAACTTTTCGTCAACAATAGACTTTTTACTACGGCTGTAATAGTTGATAGATGTGTAGAGAATTTCACGTGCGATGGCTATTTATAGACTCATAGACTCTTGTGCTGACTGTTATCGCACCGCGTGATTAACCAGAAATCACTTCCAGACAAGCCGTATCGAGTTCAGCTTTCAGTTGGGAAATTTTTCCCGTGTGCAATGTATGTTATTCAACATGAGTTCAGGTAATACACTGTGGGTCAAATTAGAATCTTTATTATAACATATTAATGTCACTAAATCTTCAAAATGGCGACACCTATAGAAATAACCATTAGTCATCACATTTAGATAACTATAACCCAGGCGCGGATCCAGAGGGGGTGGGGTGGGGTGGACCCCCCCCCCCTCTGCTCAGCTACATAAAAAAATTGTAAAACAACCTTTTTTATGAGAAAAGTGTCATAATTGTGCTTTATCCTTTATCGTCAGATTGTGCGACAGGATGGACACTCAAATCGCGAGATAATAATATAGACATATCACTATTAATGCTTTGCATCAATAAAATTGAATCACAATGTCATCGTAAAATTCATAATAAAAATTGACGTCAAACAGGATGTTGGATTTCTCTGTTTAAAAAGTTCAATGTGTATGTATATACTCCAAAATTACGAGAGAGACCATGTATTTCTCAAAAAATTTCAAGCCGGGGGGGGGGGACATTTTCTTAGAAACCTGGCAAACCCCCTTCTGCAAAAATTCCTGGATTCGCCCCTGTAACCGTCGCATTATAGATGGTTTGACTAACACAGATCAAGGATTGGTCTCTCTCTCTCTCTCTCTCTCTCTCTCTCTCTCTCTCTGGGATCTACCCGACTGGTAAAAAACAGTCAGAAATTGTCGTACCTGAGTTAAATTCTAGACAACTGGCTGAGGTGTCTTAAATTCGATTTGTGATTTTGTACCAATTTGTTAAAGATTGGCGTGCAGGTATAAGAACCCTTGACTATGGTGGCTGATAGTGGCCACGTAAAATCTCACCCTGTTCATAACCTTAATAACACGACATCACGATAGTATAAACATAAACCTGCGACTCTTTATTCTGCCGTAACATCATGTTATTATTGTCGTTATTTCGTATCCTCGATGTATCGCATTTACTCTCATTCTACAAGACACAAAAAACATAATTTTGCAATCACTACGACAGTTGGAATCATCTAAGAAGCAAAATGCAAAATAGATAAATATGAATAAGACTAATATTAAAGAAACATTATGGGAGATTCGATAACGAGTTGGCAGTTCTCACTATAATAGTTAAAAACTAGATAATGTAAAGGCAATTTGCTGAAAATTTTATTCAAATTGTTACACTATGAACCGAGAACAAAGTGACTGAATTTCCACCTAGCCGTGATCATCATTACTAAAGTTGCAAAGTCACAAAATCTTTTTGATGAAGACCCGCCTACCCCCATGTCCACCGTCGCAGTGATTTGTCATTTTTACATGTTTTATATTTTCCTTTATAGGTGTAGACTAGAACGAAGAAAACGAAAAGATCAAACAAAATATTATAAAGTGAAGTTAACATTGATGTTGAAAGAATAGTTATACTGTATTAGAAAAACTCTAGCAAAATGCCATGTGTAAAGGGGAAACTTCCTGATGACCAATATGACACGATAATGGCGGATTTTGTTAATCTAATACCGGACATTAAAGATGACCATGTTGGTCTTGCTAGTTCATTGTTTGAAAAAGGTGTCTTCAATGATAATGATTTAGAGGCAATAGCGAGAGAAGAGCAACATGCATTCGGTTGTAAAAGCAACGCTGCTGCTAAACTGTTGGACATCCTTTTATACTCTGGTGACCACGCTTATGGAAAATTTATCGCTGTATTAAATGAAAATGGTTATTCCGAAACTGTTGGACGATTAGAATCGGGTTAGTTATGATTTTATTATTATCGTATTAGTTCATATAATTTCAGTTAAAGTTTGTCATCTACAACCAATTTAAAGATACATAGATGGCATATGACGACTTGTTGCTATTGTTATACAAATTACAAATTTTATCATACTTTAAATATGACGAAATGGTAATAACATTATTACTACACCGATCACAGTGACAGTAATCATTGTAAAGGTAAAACAAATATTTATGTTCAATTACAGACAATGAAACAAAGGATGGGAAACACACAGTGGGAAAAGGGAGACTACCCGATGACATGTACAACACGATCCGTGGCAATAAAACCTTCCTCACGAACGAAATTAAAAACAGTTATAGTGATGTGATGAATAGTTTGTATAGTTATAAAGCCATCAGTGATGATGATGTGAAACAAATCAAGAGAGCAGAGATGGGTCTAGTCGGTAGTAAAAAATCAGCCACCAGGAAAATGTTGAAAATTCTTTTAAACAGTGGTGAAAGAGGGTATTCGAAATTCCTTAAAGTACTGTATACAAGCAAATGTTCCAATGCTCTGTCCAGATTGGAACCAGGTTAGTTATGATTTTAAATTAGTTAAGATTATGTAATTAATGGTATATGTACAATATATTTCTATAAGGAAATGAAAGTTTCCAGTATGTTTGGAGTATAATTATATGACGATAGTCATCATCATATGTTTGTAAATTTATATACAAACGAAGACAAGAACATGTTGCAATCAATAATATTGCCAATCCGCAGCTAATTTGAAATATGTATATGGTAATGAACAATGAATTGTAAAAAAATAAATCGTGCCTTGCATTACGCGGCAGTTTAAATATTTGCCGAAAGGGTAAATGGAATGTCAAATTTTAGAAATGAATTTAATGCATCAAACTTTATTATATGATGATCGTTGAAAACATGATTAAGCTATACGAACATGATAAATGATCGGGAAAAACTTGACCATCTCGGTCGTAGTAACCTTATACACTATTATGGCACTACAACATCAAAATTTCAAGATGACATAAAAAGTTTGAGGACAGCTATGCTCGGCGACCTTGTTTTTATTTCAGTCTCAATATGCTACTACTAATATAGAAATCTGGTGGCATTTTAAATGAATGTAATAACATAGCGTATAGGAAGGGTACTGGTCATCATCTCTTTATTGTATAAAACCAGTTCTCGTTTGCGATATTACCTTTGGTGCGAGTGGACATTAATCCTTACTCAAGTCAAGTCCGTGTTCTTAGACATGTAACTGTTTTAATTCTTCATTTTGTCTAGTTACATTCTGGTAGGTATAATATACTGGCATTTTTAGTCAGCAAACCAAACAAGTTTTACTTATAGTAGAATACCAACTACATAGACTTAGCATTACATAGGTTATTGTCACCCCCAACCTCTAACTGTTTGCATTTCCACCAGGACCCTTATTTTACACACGTGTCACACACACACACCCCCACACACACATATATATATATATATATTATGGATTGTCCTAACATTGCTGGCATAATGATATAGGCATCGCGTTTTGCTGGAGTGAACTGAACTATAACCAATTATATCGTTTTAGGTTACGCAGATGAGTATGAAGAAATAGATCCAGACGGTAAGTATGTTTAATAACATTATAGCGATAGAGGCGACATTTTGTAACGAATAGTTTTAAAATTTGGTTGCAAGCATTGTGGTCATGAGAGGACGAACCCTATCCATATTCAGCGTGTTGCAATCTTTCATTTCTGAAATTATCCCCCCTTTGCCGAAAATCTCGCGAACGTGATTTGGTGTGATTTTTTTTCCAAATTTGGAGTGAAGCATTATGGTTAGGAGAAGACAAATCCTATCGATATTCAACACGGTGTCACCTTTCCGTTCCGAAAACTTTGTGAACGCGATAGAGGCTACAGTTTGTGACGGATTCTTTTTCAAGTTTAGTGAAAGTTTAGTGATAATCATTGGGGTCATGAGAGGATGAACCCTATCGACAATAAGCGTTCTGTGTCTTTCTGTTCCGGATTTATCCCGCCTTGTGAACACGATAGAGGCTGTAGTTTTTAAGAGATATTTTCGAAATTTGGTGAGAAGCATTCCGGTCATAAAATGATGAACCCTATCCATAATAAGCTTTCAGTGCCTTTCCGTTCCGGATTCATGTGCATGTCCACTCTGAGACTGGCTATCTTTGTTTTATTTTTTTTTCAAGATTTTTTACCGTGTGACGTGGATGGTGTGACAGGATGTGATATTGAATTTGTAAAAGACAAAATGGTAAGTAGAAATAGCCTACATTAAAATTTTGTTAAAACTATCAGTTCAAGTGTTCGATGAAAATCAATTAACCAATCGATACACAAAGATGATGCATTTATAGAATAAATGTTGATTATAGTTTATCAGCGTTCCAGTTATAAGCAACGTGTCTAAACAAACTGACATTCTATATTTCGCGTAGTTTGTAACCTTCAAATGAAATGAAATAAAACAATGTCTATTGACCTGCCAGCCCCAACCGGACAATATTGCGCACCACAATACTTACTAGGCGATATTGGGTCAAATTCGTACCCTGATATTACAGGGTTACATCTTGTAGAGATTGCACCAAATTCATACCCTGAAGCTACAGGGTTATATCTTGTAGAGATTTGCTGTGAAACACTTACTGTTTCGCTGTATTCTGAAATGAAATTAAATGCTGTTTAACGTCCTACTGTTCTGCTCCGACTGGGCTAAGGAAGACGAGCACGCAGTGTGTTATGAGGGAAATTTTTCCCGGACAGCGGCTCTACGGATTACTCATATACCAAATTCCAACGGCCAGGGGATCTTTTACGTGCATGCCAATGTGTACACAGGACCTCGGTTTTTTTTACATCATCCTAACGACTAGACCGTTGTATGGATACTTTGGTTTACTGTCTAGGTCCATGATATTGTGACGCTGGCTTGCCGTGGATCTTTTCTCTCACGTCATCGTGCTGGTCTTAGTTATTTATCAGTCTGTAATGGCGTCATGCAATTACTAGTAGATAGAGGCTCATCGTTATTTCCACAGAGATTGCGAATTTATTATTTCAGAGAACTGGAGATGTGTATCCCATGAAGAAAGAAAAACGGGGAATATGTTTGATCATAAACAACCATTTTTACCCCGACACTTCAAGCAACTATCGTAAGGGCACGGATATAGATGCCGAGGCGGTATCTGCCCTATTCAAGGACCTGAAGTTTGATGTCAGAGAAGGAAAAAAAGAGGACCTGAAAGCTTCGGTAAGTTTCCAGTGAGTAGTTAGGAACTTGTGTCCTGCGGGTTCATACAGACATTAGTGTGTCTATTGTAGGGCTAGAAATGAAATGAATGGGGTTTAACGTCCTACTGTTCTGCTCCTAAACCGGGCTAATGAAGACGGGCATACGCCATACAGTGTGCAATGGGGGGAATTTTGCCCAGGCAGCGGCACTACGACCTGCTCTTATATCGAATTCCAACTGCCAAGAGATCTTTTACGTGTACGCCAATGTGTACACGGGACATCGGTTTTTCGTCCCATCCACACGACTAGACAGCTGTCCTTGTCAGGCCCTCCGTCCTACATCACTGACAAGAGGAAACCTACTTAGCCACCGTGATCCCCTGTCGGGCTAGAGGATTGGTACATACAGTTTCATCAGGTATATATAAATGGGGTTTCTCGCCACTAGTTATTCCTCAGAATATATATATATATTGCGGGTATTTGTTATGGTTTAAAATTACGAACTAGACATTTACTCTCTAATATATCCGATGGCCACGATTTTGAATGGATTAAAACACGATCGCCATGAATAATTTGTAACACAACACAGTTCTATGGATAACAACCACCACTATTTTATGTACACACTACGTTTCAACATTTCACTGGTTGTTATCAAGCATACAAATACAAATGAGTACAAAGCAAATTTGTGACAGTGTTATACATAGGTACATTGAACAATAATAAGAGAAACCATAAGTTAACAATCATGAAACCCTAGGTTCAACTGGTGATTTGATAATTAAACCTTTAGGTATCACATGGTTTTCCCTACACCACATTAAGAAGGTTGAATGAACATACATACTTCATCTCACCTTCAATATACCTATATATAACACTGTCACAATTTTTTTCCCTCATTTGTATGCTTGATAACGACCAGTGAATTCTTGTCGAAACATCGTGTATATATAATATAGTAGTTGTTATCCATAGAACTGGGTTGTGTTATATTATGTTCAATCGCTAAATGCCATTCAAAGATTATGAATAATTTATTTTAATGATGGATAATCAAGACTTTGTTTATCATCGTAACAATGGTAAACTGTTATATCGAGAACCATCAGCGATTTATCTAAGTATTTAGTAACTTGCGCACTAAGAGTGGTACGTGGGATTGTAATCTGGTGTTAGGTTATATCTCGCACAAATGTATGGTTTACATAGAAATGACCTTTAATCAGCAGTAGTATATTCGATGCGTTGTGTATTTCAACACCAATTACAACAGCGAATAGAGAATATTGTACAATATATATATATTTATTGAAGTACTTCACATATACTATTTAGGGAATCCGCAAAATGACTTGAGACAAAGCGACGGATGGAGATGGAGATTATGTAAACGTTAATGAAATGACTAAGCATAGTCGTTCGGACAAAATCTATCCCTTAACACACAGTACAGTGGATGTCCGTCTTCTTTAGCCAAGTCGGAGCAGAACAGCAGGAAGTAAACCCAAGTTCCGATTATTACGTTAATTAAAAGACAGGGAAAGTGGATGACTCTACTGGAAGCCGTCAAATGGAAAAACAATTCTGTTCCTGAAAACATATTGTGCTATGTTTCATGTTTTATTGTGTATTTTGTAAATTTCAGGAAATACACGAAAAGCTTAAATCATACAGCCAAGAAATTAATAATTCAGATGAAACGCACGATTGTTTTATTCTGTTTATTTTGAGTCATGGTAAAGAAGGCAGTGTAAAAGGAAGGGATGGAGAGTTTGTGGACATAACTGATATCATAGACTATTTTGGTTCTGACAAATGCCCGAAGTTAAAAGACAAACCAAAATTGTTCTTCATACAAGCGTGCCAGGGAAGTAAGTTACTTCTTTTGTTTAATTTTTCATAATGATAATAATTATAGTCCTGTAATAAGGCATAAAACAGACAAGAGAGAAGAAGAGGATTGACTGCCGTAACCCCCCACCCCCACCCCCAACCAGGGGCGGATCTAAGAATGAATGCAGGAGGAAGTTTGCTAGACTCCTGTGTATAGAATCTGATAGTTGACAATGCGTGATGCCATCATCGTCTCTAAAATTACGTAGGCATTACATAGAGGGCAATCCAACACCTCGTTTGACGTCATTATTGAATCATATTGTGATTTAATTTCATCGATGCAAGGCATTCAATTTACTTTTTTTATGTAGCTGGGCAGGGTGGTGTTTGGACCCCCGCCCCTTTAGTCGCAACCCCCCCTCCTCCTCTGGAACCGCCCCTGCCAACCCTGATGATGTTATCAGTCTTCCATTGATACATTTCAACAATGTACCAATACGTACATGTTGAATGTATACTAAAATCCTTTACATGTCAAGTAACCTAATTCAAGTTATAGATGGGCAACTGTCTGTGATTATCCACCAGTAGTTTTACCAATGTAAAGGATGCGGTACAAAGACTTGACATGTTACAGTATGGATTTCTTTATGAAACTTGCCACATATTGATTTGTAATACGCTTGAACACTATCGAAATTAAGCGTGTTGGCCCTCGTCATCAAAAGCGTGAGGGTTTTTGGAGATTTCGTTTTTAGAACTTGACGGGGTTGTTAAACTCGTCAACTATTTCTTGCAGAGTTATCTACCGCGGCATGCACTTCTATGCGAGGGTTGGTTACATTGTCGCCATCGAATTAGGAATGACAAACGTTTCTGCAAAATGGATGCCAAAGCTCTTGACCTTGGATCAGAAACGTGTCAGATTTGTAACCATGGAATATGAGCCATGTTTGCAAAATGAAAAAAGAACTAGTCGGTCCTCATTTTCCTAGTCAGCTGTAACGACTTTGTTTTGGGTGGCTGAACAAACATTCTTCCTGAACGGCATTCAGGTCTTGCAACATCATTGGCAAAAATGTATACACCTCGGAGGCGACTAGAAAAATAAATGGAAACCATCGACTTTGTACAGATCTTTTACAGATAGGCTGAGAACTTTTCAGCCAGCGATCGTATAACTCTGTTGAATTCTATCCGTCGAGAATTGTTTTTCAAATCCCAAAATGTCAAACAAATGGTAACAATTATAAGCGGTGCGGGCGACTTAACTGCCTTGGTTTAAAATTTTGATATTTGTGTGTCTTTTCATACACATAGCTCGTAGAGAATACTTGCAAGTAGATGGTGGTGTAGACGAAGAAGTGCAGACTGCTACTGTGGAATCTAATGAAGACTACTATCTGGCAATAGCCACATCTCCAGGTATTTATGAATTATAAACTGAATGAATCCTTCGAACGGATCATATATATATATGAGAATGGGAATGTAAAGCCATTCTAATTTGCACTCACTCATCAAAGATTGAATGTTGCTTGTATGCATTGAATCTTTTCCAGGTTTTGTTTCGTATCGACACACGATCCGTGGTTCCTGGTTTGTGCAAGCAATTGTAGCTGTATTTAACACATGTGCATGTAAAGAATCTTTCCAGAAGATGATGGAGCAGGTAAAGTTAAATCATTGTCAGTGTTTTTAGACAGATTACAGTAAACTAGTCATTTAATGGTTAATCGGCACACACATGAAACTGTGTAGTACGTGCTATACAAGAAATTTTAGCTACATCAATTGGTTTCCTGTTTATTATTTGTATAAGCCCATATTTTCATACGTACGTATTATGCTGTCGCCTGTCCGTCCGTCCCTCCGTCCACACTCTACAGGTCACGATTTTTGTCCAATTTTGACGAAACTTGAAATATAGGTTTATCCCCCAAAGATCTCAGTTCCTGTATCGGACCATAACTTCATGGATTATGGCCCCTGGTTGTACAACAAATCACGTTTTAAGCTTGTGTTGTGGACAATCTAGAGGTCCCCATTTTCATCTGATTTTGATGAAATGTATGTTTATAACACAAAGATCTTGGTTCCTGTCGATATTCGCGCCTATCGGATTGTAACGAAAAATCGCTTTTTTAGCTTGTCGTTAAAAAAGCTCCTTTACAACGCAATGTCGGTTGAGTTCGAATTTCGTGAAAATCGGATCAAATCGGCCGGACAAAATGGCCGCCCTTCGTATGCAAATAGTGTTAAAATATGGTATCAAGGTTGTGGACCCTCTAGATGCCACAGGGATCTTAGTTCCTGTCGATAATCGGGAATATCCGAACAAAACGTCCGGGATTATGGCCCCTGATTGTTCGAAAAATCGCATATTAAGCTTGTGGACTAGCTAGAGGTCACAATTTGATTTCATTTTTTAAAAAAAAAACCTTTACATATATCACTGTTACACATCAATGAAGGTTGAGTTCGAATTTCCTAAATATCTGAACAAAATGACCGATCCTTATACCCAAATAATGTAAAAGTATGTAATACCAAGTGTACAGTGTTGTGGGCACTCTAGAAATCACACTGTTTATCCGATTTTGATGAAACTTGAAACGTATGATTATAATCCAAAGATCTGTTTTGTCCTGTTCATATTTGCGCATATTGGACCGTAACGTCCTTGATTATGACCTCTGGTTGTATGCAAAATTTCGTGTTTAGCTTGTGGCCCCTCTAGAGGTCACAATTTTTATCCGATTTTTAAAATACCCTAATGACGGTGGGTTCGAATTTTGTGAAAATCGGACCGACATTGCCTGACAAAATGTTCTCCTGCAATTGTTTTTGAATTTTTACTACACATTTGACTTTGTTTTTGGTATATAATAATTGTTGTGCAAACCTCGCCCAGTTACTGTTATCAGAGTATGAATCTTCTGACTAGTCCCATTGATGATATTCCAAGAAGTTGGTTTTCCTTATGCCTTCCAAACATGTGCGAGGGCACGGGATGGTGATGACTAAATCATCTGTGTTTGGGATGACTCACTGTTGGTTTGATTAACATTAAAATCTTTTTCAGATTGCAAAAAAAATGATAGAAGTTGGGAGCAAGAAAGAAGTATATGAAATGAAACTGGTAAGCATATTGTGTAAACAATATCTTGAGGTAGCCTGCAATGAGATTGAAAGAAAATGTCATCACTGTATTTAAGCCAGTGATACCCCAGCTTTGCTGAACTATCGGCTTAATCGTTCTCTTCCGACTGCGTTATTAAAAATAGAAACTCTTGTTTGGAAAGTTTGGGACAAAAACAGTCCTTCATAAAAATGTTTTATGTTTTAACGTCCAACTTTTGGAGGATTTGGATGTCGAATGGCTAGCACGTGCGCGCTGTATCATAAAGTGTGTTATTGAGTCAACTGGCGTGGTTTCGATTCCCCGCTTGTACGTGACAATGAGTAGGGTTGCCTGTCCAACGTTGTTCGTTTTCTCCGGTTTCCTCCCACTGCTAAAGACACCTACACACAAGAGAATTATTGAAATGAAAATGAACCGTGTGTTAGTCCCGAAATGACCTATTCTGTGTCGAGTGGACGTTAAAGCTGAGCTTTAAATGTATTTAAAGGTCACCGGTAAAGTTTATTTATTTATTTATTTATTCTTCAAGTAAAGGTTACAACATGACAATAAATTAATGTATTATAATAAGAACTAGTGTCGTATTGCACGACTGGGAAAGTGATAACAATAAATACAGATATGTATATGAAAATAAGAACTATGTGCTACATTGTAAAGTGGGATGCCAAATGAGACAAGCATAGAGAAATATGATAGGTATGGTGTCATGAAGAGACCTTTACTTAGGATAGCCCATAAAGCCTGACGTATAGAGAGAGAGAGAGAGTGAGAGAAATGGGTTTAACGTCCACTCGACACAAACTAGGTCATTTCGGGACTAACACATGGTTCAATTTTATTTCAATCATTCGCTTACGCGTAGGGGTCTTTAGCTGTGGGAGGTAACCGGAGGATCCGGAGAAAACCCACGAGGTTGGACAGGCGACCCTACTCCTTGTCACGTACAACCGGGGAATCGAAACCCCTGACGTATATAACATGGGTTTTTTTTGTCTGTAGATTTTTATGGAGTGATCAGCTCTTTGATATACTTTGGTCATTGTTCATGTAATGCCTTGAAGGTTAAAAGTAATATTGTGAACTTGATCCTCTGTTGAATTGGAGCCAGTGATCATTGTTCAGTATCGGGGTGATGTGATCTGGGTGACTTCTTTGTCTTTGTGCTTGTTAAATCCCTGGCTGCAGCATTTTCTATTCGTTAATGGTGTTGAAGTTGATAATTCTGAAGGCCAAACGATAAGGCATTAGGATAATCTAGTTTATTTATAAGGAATGAATCTGTGAATGACGAGCTCTGTTCTCTCGGTAATCAGATACTTCTTGATTTATCTAACTTTGCGAAGCTGGAAAGCGGAAGATCAACAAACCGTTTTGATATTGGATTTGAAAGACATTGGGATATGAAATGAAATAAAATGGGGTTTACCGTCCTACTGTTCTGCTACGACTCGTCTATTGAAGACAGGCATACGCCATACAGTGGAAAATTTTGACTTGACAGCGGCGCTACAGCCTACTCTTATTTCGAATCCCAACTGCCAAGGAATCTTTTTCGTGCAAGCCAATGTGTAAACGGGACCCCAGTTTTTCGTCCCATCAGAACCACTAGACAGCTGACCTTGTCATGTCCTCCTGCACCAATGACAGGAGAAAACCACGCCGGAAAACAAAACCCCGTTGCACTTTCTCGGCCATCACTGGGAGTTAGGGACATTGTGGAATCTAGAACCTCCAGTATCCCTCTAATAACAGTAATCATGTTTATATTACAGGTAAAAGAGAGAAAGGGACGTAAAACACTAAAACAAATGGTAAGTCATCCAAATATAAAATAAAGCTGGTCCATATAATTATTTCTATAAGCAAACCAGACTTACGGAAGCGTATTGGGGTCATGCAAAATTTTGTAGAAGACCTCGAGATCCTGCGTTCCTGTGATACTTTCTCGAGATCCCAACTTAATGTTCTCGAGATGTTCTCCCCTAAAAAGTTTCTCGAGATTCTCCCATCCTGTGTTAACATTCTCAAGAATTTAAGTTAATATTCTCGGGATCTTGACATCCTGTGTAAATTTTCCCTTAGATCTTGAGTATTTTTATACTCTCGACTTTCATCGCCCGCATCGTTCTGGAGTTACGCCCCTTTTTCCCAAAACCCTGTAAACGCAATAGAGGCTACAGTTTTTAACGGATTTTGTTTTTCGATTTTCAGTACTCCGCAAACTTCTGTTCCAGAGTTACCCTCTTTGTCTGTATTTTTTTTTTCAAATATGGGACGATGAGAGGACGGAACCTATGGATATTCAGCATTCTGTGACCTTCTGTTCCTAGATATAACCCACCCTTGTACCAGAAAGCCTTGTTAACATCACAGAGGCTTCACTTTTTAAATTTTGTGTGGAGCATTTGGGTCATGAACTCTGTTGATATTCAGCGCTTAGCAATCTCCCGTTCCGGAGTTACAGTTACACTCCATTCTTTGAAAACCTTGTTAACGCGGTAGAGACTTACGTTTTTAACGAATTTCGATATTCAGTGTTGAATTTCAAAAATATAAGTTTTGCTGTCACAGAGACAGATTAAGATTAGATTTCTTGAAGGATACTAGATCCTTATTCAATTTATTCAACATCCAGGTTTGCCTTTCCGTTAATCTGCTGTTGAGGCATAGATGCTGCGTGAGCGTCTTTCCACACATTGCGTGGCTATCTTTCCAATTTGTTTTGAAGCATTGGTGTCATTAGTAGACGGACCCTATATATTTTCGGTATTCCGTGGGATTTATCCTTGTGAACTGATATAGGCTGGATATTCGGAGGGATTGCTGCAACTAGAGAATAAACCTTATTGATTTGCAGCGCTCCCCGAATTTTTGTAATGGCGTTATTCATACTTTTCCGTCTGGTGAACTCGATAAATTATCACAGGTTCACAGGATCTCGAGACCTTCTACAAAATTTTGCATGGCCCCTATACGCTTCCGTACAGACTGGATCACTGAGCTTTTCGTTGTTAAAGCGTGGCTATAATATTAATTTACAAACTTGCAGTCAGACTGAATCATTGCATATTTCGTTGGTGAAGAGTATTATTACTTTACAGTCTTGCAGTCGAAGTGGGGGCAACTATAATATAATTTACATCAACTAAATCATTGGAAATCAAGCCATTTGACTCAATGACAGATCTTACAAAGTGAAACAATACAGATAGTAATTTGGACTGCTGCTGCTCAGTCCAGACTAATATTACTTGCTGTCGAGACTAGAGTAATGCTGATTTCAAATTAATCGGGGGGTTGGATGGCCGAATGGTTAGCACGTGCGCGCTGTATCATAAGGCCTGTCATTGAGTCAACTGGCGTGGTTTCGAATCTCCGGTTGTACGTGACAAGGAGTAGGATCACCTGTCCAACCTCGTGGGTTTTCCCCGGGTCCTCCGGTTTCCTCCCACTGCTCAAGACCCCTACGCGCTAACGAATTATTGAAATAAAATTAAACCATACGTTAGTCCCGAAATGACCAAGTTTGTGTCGAGTGGACGTTAAACTCTCTCTCTCTCTCTCTCTCTCTCTCTCTCTCTCTCTATCTCTCTCTCTCATTCAAATTAATCATATTTTTTTTAACAACTAGTTTGTGCATGTTGATGAAATTTGCTAATGTTCAGGTCGGAAACTTGTAGTTAAGGTACATACGACATGAGTAGGATGCAACGCAGATTCCGTTTCGTTTCGTATTCTTATAGTTCAACATTTTGTTTTACCTATCTTTACTACATTAGGATCTGTAAGAGTTGGTATATAACCTACGTTCTGGTTGATGTGGGGGATTAACCAATGCAACGGTCTGCTTTAGCGAGGGTTTGACAAGGATTTATGGGTATCCCACTAGAAACATCAACGCTGATTGGTAAATCAAATGCCTGACGTCATAGGGTCAAAAGTCGGTCGTATGACCCAGTGACGCGCCCCCCTACTACAACCGATCAGATCTTTATGTAGTGGGGGCCATCGAAAGCAATAAAAAAACGAAATAAAATATAGATCTGTAATAGAAATGAAATGAAATGAAATGGGGTTTAACGTCCTACTGTTCTGCTCAGAACTGGGCAAATGAAGACGGGCATACGCCATACAGTGTGCTATAAGGGCAATTTTGTCCGGACAGCGGCAATACGGCCTATTCATAACGAATTCCAACTGTCAAGGAATCTTTTACGTGTACGTCAATGTGTACACAGGGTCTCGGTTTTTCGTCCCATCCGAACGACTAGACAGATATTCTTGTTAGGCCCTCCGCCCTGCATCACCGACATGGAGGAACCACGCCGGAAAATCTGGATGAACTTTCTCGGCCAAAGCAGGGATCAAACACCCGACCTCCAGGCTAGCGAGCCAGCGTCTTACCTACTTAGCCACCGTGCCCCCCCCCCCCCAGGATCTGTAATCCATCTGTTGGCTATATAAATGTGGAAATAGCAAGATGGAGAACACGGGATCCCACTTTCAGTTGTTTTGGACTGTGTATTATATTTGACAAATAAATTGGTAATTAACCATAGTTTTGCTCTCAATTTCAGGTAAATATAGCCACCCCATGGCACGATAACAAACTGAAGAAGGATTTATACTTTTTTCCAAAAAGTGGAACTGACTGTGTTCCTGAGTGAATTTCCGTAAAAAAAATCGGAATTTTATATTCCATTAAATGCATGTAATTTTATTTGATACAGCAGACGACATAATAATAATAATAATAATAATAATCATTTTGTATAGCGCTGAGTGCTCCAGCTAACAGCTGCTCCGCGGCGCTTTTCACAATTAAAATATTACATATAATATAAAACAAATAGTTCTAAAACATTAAAATGTCGACATGTTCATAGTTTAAAAGCACGTTTAAAAAGTTCGGTTTTAAGATTTTTTTTAAAAACAGCAACGTTAGTAGAGTCTTTTACATGTCTAGGTAATTCATTCACCAGTTTTAGTTTTTACTGTAGGAACATGAAGTAAGTTTTTATCAGCAGAGCGTAGGTTCCTGCTTGGTTTATACGGGGTTAAAAGTTCATTAAGATATTGTGGGGAACAGTTATTATTTAGACAATTAAAAGTTAAAAGACCGATCTTTAAAATTAATTCGTTGATAAACAAAGAATAGCGTTGATCTCACTACTGTAACAGCCTCGGGTATCAATCAAAAACTTATTAATAAATTACAGCTAGTACAAAACACTGCAGCTAGGATTGTTTATCAGTCTATTAGAAACCATCATTTTTGTTAATTTATTTTTCATTTTGTAGAATAATGTTTAATTTTGTAGAATTATTTTTTTTACTTTTGTAGAATGATTTTTTAATTTTGTAGAATTATTTTTTAATTTTGTAGAATGATTTTTTACTTTTGTAGAAAGATTTTTTAATTTTGTAAGTTTGTTTTCAATTTTGTAAATTTATTTTCAATTTTGTAAATTTTGTTTTCAATTTTGTAAATTTTGTTTTCAATTTTGTAAATTTTGTTTTCAATTTTGTAAATTTGTTTTCAATTTTGTAAATTTGTTGGGTTTTTTTTCAATTTTGAAAACAACTTTGAAAATTTGTTATCAATTTTGTAAATTCATTTTTATACGTTCACATTTACACGCACCTGTCAGTGTGGGTGGGTGTGTGTGTGTGTATATAGTATGTATGTGTGTGGGGGGGGTATTCAATGCTAAAATACGGGTCTTAATACGAAATTCCAAATATGTTGAAAGAAAAGCACATTCATTCCCGGAACATCTGAAAAAAATTGGAATAATTATTGAAATAGGACGTTTGAGGACAGTAGAGCACCAAGGGACCAAGGTTGGGGCTTTGAACTACGGGTTCTACTTCGTGGGATCGTTCTGGGCCCCGGCCCCAAATTTCAGGCCTTTCACACTTCCGGTTTCGGTTGAATTTGGTCAAATTTCAGGAAAGGGGGAAGGGCCCCAGAAAGGGGGCTCCCCCCCCCCCATAAATCGACCCCTGCGAATCAAGATCTGCCCAGAGGCCTTTGGGTGAAATAGAGCTCAATTTCACCCACTTCCTGTGGTCGATATACTTCAAGAATACAGAAATTCGGACCCCCGGGGATGCATTACAGATGAAAATCGGGTGTTTTTTTGGTCAAAAGTCCAGCCATGTTTGCGGCCCTACACGCTAGGTCTCCAAATTACAGCTTCCTGGCATTAATATACTTCAATACAGAGCTTTACATACATGACACTTTGACGCCTCAGAAATGGTTTTTGGTCAAATTTTCCATATTTATACATGTATTGAGTTCATATCTCCATTTTGACTGAATCTAGCAAGTTGAAATTTTCACAGCTTCCTAGCTTGAACATTAAGCACACAGATCAGGGGTCTCGGGTTCATCTCATTCAATAACCATGTCATTGTTCTTCTTAGTGCGAAAAACCAAGGTCTCGTGTATACATTGGAATGCACGTAAAAGATCCCATGACAGTTGGAATTCGATATAAGAGTAGGCCGTAGCGCCGCTGCCCGGGCAAAATTTCCCTCATAGCTCACTGTATGGGCGTATGCCCGTCTTCATTAGCCCAGGTAAGGAGCAGAACAGTAGGACGTTAAACCCCATTTCATTTCATTTCATTTATTAGAAGTGGGGGGGGGGGGCAACGGTGGACCCGGAAACAACCCACGAGCTGGAACTTCTTGATAAAGATACCTATTTCATTTCATTTCATTTCGTCGTTGTGTTTAATGAGATGCGGCAGAGCGCAAAAGTAAAATGTTGACACGTCGAAAAAACAACATTTTCCAATAAAACATTTATCATTTGACACATTACTTTTGACGTTTTACATTCCATTTTGGCCTTAGAGGGTATTCTGTCTTTATCATTACCGGTATTAAGGACTTTGTGCATTGTACTTTTTTACATATAATCACTCGAAAAGACATTTTTGCAGAGCATGTAATATTGGCAGTGATACCCTTCCATATTATATGTACAGAGTGTTCTAAATAGAGAGAGGGGGAGAGAGAGGGAGAGGGAGAGAGAGAGAAAGGGGGGAGTTAACGTCCACTCGACACTAACTAGGTCATTTCGGGCCAAACATGTGCTTCAATTTTATTTCAATAATTTGCTTGCGCATGGGTTTTTTTAGCAGTTGGAGGAAATCGAGAGACCCGGAAAAAACCCAAGAGGTTGGACAGGCTACCCTACAACCGGGGATTCGAAACCACGCCAGTTGACCCAATGACAGCACGCACGTGCTAGCCACTCGCCCCCACCTCGCCATTTGGGGGTGGGGCGCCTCAGATATAACGACACTAGCAAGGCGCCCATAAAACTAAGAGGCATTGGTTGGACGCACTGTTGGGCACCTTCGTATTGCGTCCAATGGAAAGGGCGCTATCGACGCCCATCGGGTCGCCGATTTTTTCCAGGGGGACAGGTGCCCTGCATCCCCGCCCCACACACAAACACACCGCCCCCGCTAGCTATGGGCCTGTGTTCATAGATGTTCTGAAATGCAAAACAATTTAAATAGTTTGGTTGTGTTGTACAAGGGTTAATGATGATATCTAGATGAACGGTCTATACAAAAACAATAAGGCATGTCTGATGATAATTAAATACGTCGAGCTAAAGGGGTGAAATCGGGGATATTGCACTTTTACCACATCCCACAGACTACCGATTTACAGACCTTTCCATAGGTTGTAAGCATTTCTCCGAACTCGGTTTTCCCAATCTTCTCTACATCAGAACAAAGAGACATGAAATATTCCAACTAATCTTTGACTGTGAGAATGGAATTTCAATAGGGTTTCCTTATGATAATCCAAGGACAATCGCGGCAATTTGTCAAACCTAAAAATCTGTTCTGTACTGCGTTCACGAACTCTAGAAAACCCCGCTCAACGCAATCGGTTTTCGACAGCGTTTTCTTGTTTCCCTGTAGATGGACACGTGTACGTAGCGCTAGTATACTTCCAGTTAAAATGTGGGAATGTAAAATTCATTTATAGCTTCTAAAAGTAGTATTAGAAGATCAAACACTTCCTGCTTCGCATTTAGAGGGGTGTTATTGTCCATTAGGCATGTCGTGAGATCATTATGACCCAAGACGCGTTAGTATTTTAGTATTTTACTAAACCATAAGCACAACAACACATCAACTAGTGTTTAAACCATTAATCCCCTAATACATCCAATAGTCACTATCATATAAGATTAAAATAAATAGAATTATCAACATATCTAACAGTAAAAGTCTTGTAAGCACTAATAGAACATGAAAGTCTACCCTAATAACTTTACACGTGGAATACCGTACATAATATACGGTTTACCAGGCAGTGATGTCTTCCGTTCATTTTCAACTTTAGCTTGGTCAAATACCGATTTCATGGTGGACTTTGGTAATGGCTTTCTGTCGACTTCTGACGGAGCGACGTGAACCAACTTGCCTTGTTTTAATAAGATCATTGATGCCATGTGACGATTGACTTGTTTTCTCCATGTCATCCATTGGTTAAAATCATCAGTATTTTTTGGAGGAGGATTATTGAAATCCATGGGATAGTCATATTCGGGAATATAGATGTCAGGAGTTGGAGGATCAACTTGGTATGGTTTTTTAGGGTTGTTATGAATCAAATCCTCATTCCACTCGTCACTTACATTTATCCCTTTGTCATTTAGCACTTTATACTCTTTAACATCGATATTAATGTTTCCATTCGAGGAATTTAATTCATTAACAGCTGTATTATCAATAACACTTTCTACAATATTTAGTCGTGGTTGTCCGGCATTTAACCGTGGATAAATATTATTTATAGGTAAATCGTCCGTGTAGGGATAATCAGCGGTAGGTTCCGGTGGTGAATAGTCCAAGTTTTCACGTCTGTAACAAGAAGAGAGTGTTGGATACAGCCCACTATTACCGTTGCCTCTTGGTACACTTTCATTAACAGCTCCATGGGCTATTTTGGTGTTAGATTCAGGTCGTCTAGATAAGTGTTTTCGTGGTGGAGAAGCCATCCTGCTTTGAGGAGGGCGGTAATTTCTTCTCCTATTTACTCGGAATCGCTGACACTCTGAAAATGAAAACAACAAATTAATTAAAGATACATTATGTAAGATTTAGATAAGAGCTAACCATTCTTGCTATAGTTCGAATATAGATTATGTAAAATGAATAATTTGAAAATTCCATTCAAATTACTCTATTGCGAGCGAAGATATTAGCCTTTGATGAAGGTGTGCAATAATTTCAACCACCGTTCTGGTTGTTCGAAGCTAAGTCTCGCTCTTCCATTTTTAGCTTAAATCAAAATATGGCCGAACTGTTCTAATCTATTTAATATTGGAGAAATCCGATGTCATGGGGAATTGATTATGGACTGGATATGTTAATTAATGTCTAATTAATAATTTAGAATACATTTCAGGCCTAAAGACCTGCAATAGACAGATTTAGCTCTTGCATAATGTATGTTTAATGATTGTGATATTTAAAGTCATAAACAGATATTTCAAAAGTTATACCCCATGGTACCAAGTTTCTAAAATAAATTAAACATACACTATACAAGAGCTAAATCTACCTATTTCAGGTCTTTCTTTAGGTCCGAAATGTCTGAAATGTATCGTTCGGTTGGCCTTGAACTTGCATTCGATTTCGTGACCTTGGTATTTGATTTACTCGCAGGCTTCAATGGAAATAATGTGTATCGATATACTAAATTTCGTAGTTTTATGGTATTTTGGATAACAGAAACTATTGAGAATTGTCACAAACATGTGATATTTTTGACTCAAACGATTAATCTAGACTGTAAATTATTGTCGAATTTTAAAAGTATTTAATAACTTTTAAACTAATGCACGAAATAGCCAATGTTCCTATGCCTACATTTGAAATGTCAGTCCCATGGGCCCTTTCAGCAATACTTTGAAAATACCAAATACACACACTCCTTATTGGATAATGCTTATCTATCTTACTAAATTATAATGATTTTCTATTAAAATTGCATTTTAAGTTACAATCGATCTTCGTGAAACACATAAAATTTTAAATTTCCATTTGATTTTCGTTAAAATCTTTGTTTAGTGATTTTAGTTTAAGGTTTTGTGAAACAGGGCCCTGGCCTACAGAGATGAAACAAATTAAACAAACATACCAGTAGAATTACTAGAATGTACTTACGATTTCCCGTAAAGGATAAGTATGGCATAGCAGGGGCGTAGCGAGAGGGGTCGGGGGAAGGGGGTAGTGATCAAGACCTTCTTCGAAAATGGCACAATATCAAAACATTTAAGGATCCACGTGTCCTCTTCTATATCTTCTTATAGTTCTAGATTAGTAAAGAAATACAGACCCAATATACCACACCTTAAAATACAGACCCAATATACCACACCT